ATGAATTAAAATTAATTGGCTAATAGTTTACATAAGTTAATAAATAGGCCAAATTACTGTTTTTGTTCATAACTTGTCTGGTTATGAACCATAACTTGACAAGTTATTGTCCATAATTCGCAGTTTTTGTCCATAACTTGTCTGGCTATGAACCATAACTTGACAAGTTTGTCCATAACTTATCTGGTTATGAACCATAACTTGACAAGTTATGACATATTAATTTCTATAACTAAAAATTGGCCTATATATTTTCTTAAGCTTTTCATATTGGCATATTTTTTACTATTTCCATAAAAACAAAGACATATTAAGAAGGCCCAATATTATTAAGAAGCCCATTAAAAGCACAAGGACAATTCATCAGAAAGTCGACCCTTCCATAAGCTTCAAGAATGTTCAAGGGGATGCGGCTTCAGGCTGTGCCAAGGGAGAAGAGGCTTCGTCCAATCCTTACGGAGTTGAGGCTTATCAAGACCAAGAGAGTGTTTAAGGAGTGTAGGCTTCGTAAAACTAAGTGTTTAAGGAGTCGAGGCTTTACAAGGCTCCAAGAAGTGTTCAAGGAGACGAGGCTTCAGGCTACACCTAGGGTGAAGAGGCTTCGGCCGACTCTTACAAAGTCAAGGCTATTATGAAGTCAAGGCTACGAAAAGATAATGAATCCGCGAGATTTGCTCTAGAAGACAAGATTTGTATTTTAAATATGAAATTTAAATATGAAAACTGTTGGTCTCCGAATCGAATTCGGATGCAGAAGCGTGGTGGTGTGGGGAGGCGGATTGTGTATAACAAAAATTTTCATAAAACTTTTGAGATACTTTATAGATTATATTAATTTATGCACGAATAAATTAATCTCATTAATTCATTTATTAAGAACTCAATTAGGAAAAATACCTGGAAGCCGACTCGGATGATAACTTGAGTTCTTTGACCTCGAACAATCCTTGATCCAAAAATTTGTATTTAGAAAACCAATGTCTTCCACGTCAATTCCTAGAATCCACGAAGACGTGTGTGTGGGCACACATGAGACAAAACGGATTATAATAAACACTCGAATTTCCACAAACACCAATGCATGCGCAATGTGAAATTTTTTGGAGAAAAATTTTTCCTTCTCTCTCTTAGGGAATTTCGGCCACCTCTAAATTAGGGCAAAAATTAATTCCACAATTTTCTACTATTCTCTTATTTATAGAGTAGAAGTCAAACTTCTATAAGGAATTCAATCTCTATCTCCAAGATAAAGCTTGTCAATTATCTTCTATTTGAATTTTGAACAAAATATCCTCTTATCCTCTATTCCTTATGGCCGGCCATTCTAAGGGGATTTTTTCCTTGTGTATGCGCCAATATCAGATAGGGAAGGAAGAGAAAATCATCATTTATCCTGTAGTCCAATTTTGACTCAAATTCAAATTTCAATTTAAGTCAAACTTAAATTAATTTGAATTCTAAATTGAACAACTTATCAAATAAGTTTAAATGGATAAATCTAGATGTGTTCAAATTCAAATTTAAATAATCACATTATTTAAATAATAATTAATTCTCAATTAATTATTTTCGAG